CTTAGAAAGCGACGAAATTGAAGAAATATTACGTTGAGTTATAAATAATTTCCGTTTTTCTTTATCAACTTCATTCTTCAAAAAATGAAATACCATTATCATTATTATTATTATTATTATTATTATTATTTACAATGACTTGTTGTCGCTTAGGCTGCTCTTCGATACATTTTGAGTAAGAACAATTTATTGAAAATAATGTGTGGATATACAATTGAATAAAATATAATTCTACTTAATGTTTTGAAGAATAAAACTTCCTCCCGTCAGAAACTGTAATTTTACGCAAAAGTTATCGAAGAGCTGCCTGATAAGTGGCAATAAGTCATTAGAAATAAGGTTAAATATATAATTCAATCACTACAAAACGCTTAGATGGGAAAACATTTTGTACTGTAAACCAGATTCAAGATTTCATCAAAAACCTTTTCAGCATTAAAACCAGTGGAATTTTATAAGTTGTAAATGCACACACGGGAAAAAAACTTCACGAATTCCTAGACAAGATAATAAAAGAAAACAAGATGAAAAGACTATCTATCAACTTTAAGAAGACAGTATGTTTGGTACTAGATATGGACTACAGATGTCTGAGAGTTTTTTTTTCAAAACAACTAATATTTTAGACTATAGAAAGAAACGAAAATATTGTTTTCCAAACTTCCAGTTGACGAAAAGAAATGCCTAATTGCCTGAATTAAAAGTCAGTATTCGAAGATCATAACCTTTAAAATTTTAGTCGAACACATGCAACAGACTCTCGGTAGAGATACTACGCAAGCAGCATATATACAGGAGGCGATGGATAAATTGTTGTCTAAATTATGCAAAAATGAAAATAACACTGACATCTCATTTTAGCAGAAATATTTACCAAAATTACACAAAAATATCTTGAAATACTAAAGAGTAAATTTATTAAATAAAATCGCCATTCGCTTCAACCATGGCCTTATGAAAACATTGGAATCTCCTGCAACTCTTTTGGGTGATACCCTTGTTTAAGTTGGTGAACGCTGTCATAATCCTTGCCTTCAGTTCGTCTTTTGTGCTACAAGTTTTGTTTGTCTATCGCTCAATTGTGCCTCATATATAATAATCAAGTGGGTGCCATGTTTAATGGATGTCAGTTATCAGTTATCTCCTGTTAATTTCCCTCTGAAAGTTGTCCACTGCCTTAGCTGTGTATTGAACTCACACTCTTTGGGTTTTGTCACTGGATCTAACTAACGCCTTTATTCACTGTGCCATGTGTCCTCAAGGACATTAAAAGACATTAAACATGGAACGTGGAACTAGAACAGTCTACCCCAGTGTGCGAAATAAAGGGTTCAGTTCGACATTCCAATCACCTGAAGAAGGCCGGAGCGTACAACGAGCGAAACGTTGTAATAAATACGGCGACAAAGATGAGGACAATAGTCCGAATAATGTAAATAATGGTTAAGTCTTAATTTTGATCTGAGGTGGATAGGACGACGTAGAGATATTGAGTGGCTCTCACGATCACCAGACCTAACGTTACCAAAGTTTCTTGGGGGGATGGGGAACTGAAAGATATTGTTTGCAGGCTCAAACCGGAAGCAGTTCCTGAATTAACATAAGCAAATTCTGATTAATTTTCTGAAATTAATCTAGATATGTGTCAAATGGTTTGTACAAGAGTTTCTGATAGAGTTCTGCGTTGTATTAAAGTATGATACATGTGTTATATTCCGTGCTAATAGGAATATATACTTGAAAAACAAGGTGGATAAGATAATTAAAGGTTTATTGTAAAAAAAACTGTACAATAAGAATAATAGTAACAGTTATGCACAAGTTTGTTACAAGTCAATCTAGTGCTACTATTGGAAGGTCGGTAGTTCTTGTGTAAGTCTGAGTCGTACTCAACAGATCCCAGCTAGTAATATTTACCAACCTCCCCACGGGGTAGGATGTGGCACAAGGACGAATTTAATGTGGGGCAATCCGAGCACGTAGGCTCGGCCAACAATTCCCCGTAAACCTCGCATAAATGAGATCGGGTCTGCCTACCTTCCCGGACAAGAGACTGCCCCACGGCATAGCCACGTCCGGGTTCCACTCTGCCACAAAGCAGAGAGTTCAACAACAGCTAAGCGCTGAGTAACAGACCCACCTAGTTATATTTGCCAACCTCCCCAAGGGGTAGGACGTGGCACAAGACCGAGTTTAATGTGGGGCAATCCGAGCCTGTGCACTCGGCCAAAAATTATCCGTAATCCCCGCATAAACGGGGTCGGGCCTGTCTACCTCCCCAGACGAGATCCGGCCTTTCGGCATAGCGCCGTTCGGGTTCCTCTCTGTCCGAAAGCAGAGATTTCGTCCGTCTTGCAGGAACAGATTCCAGCAAGTCAATATTTACTCCCCCCCACCCCACGAGGGAAAGATATGGCACAAGGCCGAGTTTTACGTGGGTTTTCCGAGCCCGTAGGCTCCGCTAAAAAATGCCCGTAGAAACTGTAAAAACAGAATCGTT